CGTTTGTAACCTTACTCCTGCACGCCCTCTACTTAGGTTTTCTGAAGGCGGGTCTGGCTTTATTATTTTTTTTTAATCTACTTTTACATCTAAAGGGTCTAGCGGCCATGTTACCTAAGAATTCCTTACTACTCTTTTCTGTTTTGAGTATTACTGCTGCTACCCCTAATGCTGATGCTTTGCTTGTTGTTTTTATGTAGCCCAAGCTGGCCTTAAAACTTTCTATTCTCCTGCCTCCGTCACCCCGAGTATGGGATGTACAGATCATACCTGGTTTCTGCTGCTGCTTTTGAAGCTGCTGCTGTGGTCTCTGCAGCTGGTGAGCTGATTTAGGCCCCTCAGGCATGAAGACTTGGACATTTTCTCCTCATGATCCCTTAGCGCTTGGACATGTACTTGTACTTAGCGCCTCCACAGATCAGCGTGGCAGGAGGCTGTGGAAGAATTGTGGAGAAAGGAAAACACTGGAAAGGCGTGTAGGAAGCTCCACCCTGCAGAGAGCAATAGGGCCATTGTGCATTTGCTACAAATGTAGGATTTCTGGAAGTATTTGTCCACACGGAGCTCCTGTTTTCTGTCTAACTCTGCTCTCTCCCAGTAAAGGGACAGTTGCCCCGAGCCCACTGATGGTGGGGGAGGAGAGGTGAACTTACTCCACCGTCACCCAGCACACACGCTGTTAATACCCGAGAAGTCATTTATCGGCCTGACAGACACGTGTTAACTGTTGGCTGTGACACTGCTTTCATTGTCTGCATTCAGAAAAATGTGACTGTCCAGATCTTTTCCCCATGTGCTTTTTTTTTCTTTTTATGAGTCAGAGAGGAAACAAATGTGAAGGTGATTTTTTAGCTGCCGGGTACCAGCCGGAAGAAGGTGCTGCCATTCGACTCTGACAAAGCTTTCCTTTGATAGGGAAGAGGATCAGTATGGTTCTCAGCACTTGGCAAACGGAGAGCAAATGGCCCACACTTAGACCCAGGGGTCTGCATGTCTGTTCTCCCTGCGGCCTGCGTGGTCTTAAAACCGTGTGCAGCCCATTTTTGTAAATATGAATCGAGCATAATGATGACAGTAATACTTTCTCTCTTGGTCTCTTAGAGTTGCCCCAAGGACAGAAGAAAGGGAGATGTCACCAGACCTGTAGCAGGAAACCCAAACAGTAGCACATTCTCCCCAACATTTATATTCGTGTCCGTGGACCGTCTCCCTATTTTAAGAGATTCTCTTAAACCATGTAGCTCATGTGGATCGATTACAGCGCCTGGGGTGCTCTTTTGACAAAGTGCAGGAACAACTCATGATAAAACAAAGCAACCACCCACTGGTCATGCTACCATCTGGTGGAGAAGCTCTGATAAGAACTAAAGGGTGCGCCGAGTGTGGTGGTCAACGCTCCTAACCCCAACATTCAGTAGTTGGGAGGGTGGTGAGTTTGAGATCGGCCTGGTGTACATAACAAGACCCGGTCTCGATGATGATGATGATGATGATGACAATAATAATAGTGATGGTGATGAAGGGATGAACAGTCTATGATAAATAAAATGTTGGTATAGCAGCAAAACATGACACTAAAAATCTTCGACGGGATGAAGGTTTTTATCCTTAGTCCTCTCCTTTGCCCTCTTCTCATTGAAACCAGTGTGAAGGGGAAACCAGCTAAGATCCAAGAGCAGGAGGGGACGCCTAGCATAGTATAATGAGCTCAGCGGCCCACGGGCTGATAGGCTGCCAGGCCTGCAGTCCCATGGCCTCCCTGGCCAAGAACATCCTGGCCATGAGCATCATGTCACCAGTGAGGCTGGGCAATGTAACAATAATGGCGATACCCGATGGCTTAGTTCCCATTCTTCTAGGATAGCACAGTGCCACACAATGGGGAATTTACAAAGGAAATTGTCTTCTGGAAGAAAAAAAGAGTGTCAGTCCCTTAGGCTGGAAGCCCAGGGCCAAGGGGAGCCTCTAGTGTAGGTCTTCCTGCTATGCCACAACATGGTAGAGGGTATCATGTGGGCAACCTTCCAGGGCAGAAAGAGCAGAAGCAGAAAAACCGAGCTGATGGGGGAAATCTTCTGCACATATGTTTCTCTTATTGGTTGATGAATAAAACACTGTTGGCCAATAATGAAGCAAGACATGCGGAACTAGGAGACAAGGAGGTTTCTGGGAAATGTAGTAAGAACGGAGTCGCCATGTGATCCTGGGAGGAGAGGACACATGAGTCTGGAGTTCTCGATAAGATAAAACCATGTAGAAGTACATATATTAGTAGTTATGGGTTAATACTTAAGACAGAGGTAGGCAATAAGAAATCCTAGTCACTGGCCAACAGATTTATAATTAATATAGTGTCTCCTGTGTTATTTTGGGGCTGAAGCAGTGATGGGACCCAGGTGGCTGGTGAAAAAGAGTTCACGTAACACCGAGTAGTCTGAACTGCCCCCTGTGACAGTGGCCTTGATCATCCTAAGCAGAGGCTCCATGACCTAAGCTTATTCTCAAGGCCTGCTCCCAGTCTTCTGACTAGGGCTCTTTTGCTCAATACAAGGGAGAAGTTAAGGTGCGGCTAGGAATGCTATCCTAATGAAGCTTAATCTTGGGGATAAGGTAGGCAGCACAAAAGAATGGGGTCTTGTCATGTGACAAAACCTTTCCTGGGGAGACACAACTCACCCCAGCTAGCAAGCCTACGATAGACCAATGTACAGACACCACCAAAGTCCAACCTACTGAGCTTTATCAGGGTTACTTAAAGGACTATAGGTGAGGTTCACTTACAGGAGCAGAGATGACTCCAAGACAGCTGCATCACCAAAGCCCACTCCAGCATGGGTGATGGCTGACAAAGCTGGGAACCTGAAACACATTTCCTGCAGGCAGCTCACCAGGTTGGAGAGTGTCCTTTCCAAGTGGCTTAGTTGTTCCAAAGCTCTTTCAGGCAGCTAGGGTGGTTTCTGCTTCTTCCAGGGGGACTGGGTTGGTCTCAGAGTGACTCCTCTGTGAGTCAGGGAACTAGGGAATCTGCTCAGTTTCAGGGACTTCCTGGAGAATTTTGAGTTGTTCACTTTTCCTGTTTGTGGAGCTTCCCTGCGGGATGGAATGTTTCAGTTTTAAGGGAAACTGTTACACAACAGGTTCCTGTCGTGCCCTTCTAGTAGGGGAAGGGCAAATTTCGGACATGTTGACCTTTGACCTGCAACTGGAGCAGGTGGACAGGTGCTCATTCTATGTGACCTATTGATGCATTCATCGCCAACACCAGGTTGGAGTCAGGCGATGGAAGCCGGGGGAGTAAGTAGAGCTTTCCTATGGCACATGGCTTGTTAAACTATGCATGTTGACCACGAAAATCACAGAAGAGGAAGTCTGTTCTCAGTGTCACACTGCTCTCTGCCAGTCTGGCTATACTGGCAGTTACATCTTGACATAAATTTTGGAGACAGCATTCAAACAGGCATTGGGATTTTGGGTTGCTTTACCTGAACATTTTCAGCACGTTCTTATAAAACTCTAAGTGTAGTTGCTCCATGGTCATGGAGTTAGCAAGTGACCCAGCCTGGATATGGCGTCATGTTGCGTTGGTTTTACTCTCACTGCTGTGTTGAAATGTCTGGCAGGAGCAGTTTAAAGGCGGGGTGGGGGGGGGGGGAGCTTATTTTGGCTCCTGGGTCCTAGTGAGGAGGGCACATGATTGGGAATATGAGGTAGCTGGTTGCATCGCCTCCGAGGTCAGGAAGGAGAGAGAGTGTCCTCCCCAGGACTTGTTCATTCCCTTTACTCAGTGCTGGGGAGGGACCCTCCAGAATAGCCCAAGTGTCTGTTTTCCTAGACACATGGCCCTTTGTGTACCTGCCAAGCCTTTCCAGTCCTCTCCTCAATGTGGAAGAAACTGCCATACAGCCAGGAGCCATGATGGAGCTGAACAGTTCGCCTCATGGCTGCCAGGAAGTAGACAGAGCTAGTTGGTTCCACTCAGACTCCTTGCTGATGGAACAGGATCGCCCAGATCTTAGTTGATCTTCTCTGGCAACTCGCGGTTACTCCCAGAAGGGTGCGTTCAGTCATCTCTTAGGTGCTGCTGTGTTAAAATGTCTGGCAGGAGCAGTTTAAAGGAGGGGAACTTATTGTGGCTCCTGGGTCCTAGAGAGGAGGGTAACCATGTTGACAATCGAGGTGTGCCATCCTGTCTGCCGTCTGTATTCCTAAAGGCCGGCTCCTCCACTCATTAATGCTCAGTGGTTGATCACCCCACCCATAACACAGCAGCATGGCTAGTACCTGAGGAGCCAACCGGGGGGTCATCTACAGGGCAGTGTGTGGGGGCCAGGCAATCCCACGAGGGGCCAGTATTTCAAACGCAGGAGGGAAGGTGAAGTCAAGGCAAAAGGTCACAGCAGTCACCCCAGTCAGTCCCTAGCTTCTAGATCAGCTGAGAACTGACGGCCCGGAAGGCAGGCTGCCTCACCGTCCTCTGAGACCACACCATTCACTGCACGCCCGCCTCTATTCAGAGGGCCTGCTAAAGAGCTCCCTGTAATCCCATCCTCAGCTTGCCGGGGGGGGGTGTGCTCCCTCTTTGGGCTACTCTCGTTTCACACCTGTAGTATCCTCCCACACTGTTCCTAACTTCCTGACAGCTGCACACAAGCCGCAGGTGTGTTTCCGTCGCCAAAAGCCGCGTTCATCCTTCAGAGCCGGCTCCTCGAGTCTTTACAGGATCTGCACGGCACATCTCCAAGAGTCATGTACCCTTTCTCCTTTAGACACATTTCAGCCGTGCCTGGGAGCTGGCGCATTTCTCTGAAACTATTTTTTTAAAAGTGAAATGTTACAGCCGTGCAGTTCCGTGGCTGAAGCATGAGTTAATCGTGGTGTGATCACCACGGGGACACTTGGGAGTGAGGGGCACTGGGGTAAGGCTGCACACTCCCGTGGGGCTGGCAAACGAGTGAGCTGGGCATTCGCTCACCTGCTGCTCTCTTCCCTCTCTGCCCTAGGAAACACATGGAAGACTGCTGCGATCCTGCCCATCTCTTTGCCATGACCAAGACGAACTCCCCCATGGGGAAGAGCCTGTGGTACGACGGGGAGTTTCTGTATTCGTTCACCATCGATAATTCCACCTACTCCCTCTTCCCCCAGGTGAGTGGCATCCATCCGCCGTGGTAAAGCCTCTTATATTTCCTCACCACAGTAGGAAAGGTTCACATGAGTCTGCTGACCCCCCCGGGCTTGCCCTCTTCATCTCCTCTTTCTCTCATTTTAATCTTGCATATTTTTTCCTCATGTCTTTCCATGTACTCTGCTTTGATGCAGGGGTGGAAATAAGACATTAAAAGGAAGGGCTTCACGGAGCTGTAGTTTATACGGAACTGAGGCAGACGGCGGTCAGGAGATGCTGGGATCCTAGTGTTCTGAGGTTGGCTATGGAAGGATCTTGAGGATCTGAGATAAGAGTGTTTTCTGAGGACTGATGCTGCCGCCGGGGGGTGGGGACTGTACGCCTTCTCGGAACTATTCATGCTCACCCGTGGCTAGATTCTTGCCATGAAGCGGAGGAGTGGTGGGTACTGAGAGGAAGAAGTCAGTCTGGCCACTTCTGAAACAGCCTTTGCTTACTTAGCGTTTTCCTGCTTAGTTTCCTGAGCATTGCAGTGAAATGACTTTTACTAGGTACTTTGAAAAAAGACAATTTTCTTTTTTCTTTTTTTTACTTTAGAGAACTCTGGGTGGCACAGCAGTGGGGGAGGGGGCTTTGGTGAAGCAGCCATCAGGGAGAAATTGAGAAATGAATTTTGCTCTTCCCAAGTCTTCCGGGCGACCTAAGTTTGGCCAGATGATTGCTCTCAAAGAGGATTCACGATCAGTGTTGGTCAGGAGGACTCGCCCTCTGGGTGGTTCTGTGACGAATGACTAACAGGCTCATTCTTGAGGGGAAGGTTCCTGTCAGTTTGTTGCGTCAAATCCAAAGTCACAGCCTTGGCAGAGCAAGCCTGCACCTCTGGGTGCAGGGTTCTAAGTTGGCTTGCCACAGAGATACCTGCATATCCGTGCTTGCGGCTCTACCGCCCACGCTGAAGCTTACAGCACACCTGGCACGCTTGATCTAGGTTAGTCTACATCACCACCTGCGAAAAGGTAGCATCAGTACTGCACTTGCCTGTCACATAGAGGAGACAGTCTAAGGTGCAGGGTGAGTTCAAGGCCAGCCCACGTTACACAGCAAGACCTAGTTCTGAGACAAACAAAACCACAAAGAACAGATAGTGATGAGCTAAACGAAGACGTGGAAAGAATCAACTGTCTTTAACCGTTAAGAAAAAAAAAAGCAAAAACAACAACAGTTAACGCAATCCAAAAGGGGCCTTTTGGAGTGGAGGGTTTTCAGTGACATTTACGTCTATTGTAGGAAATAGATTTGAGGGAGATTGTTAAAGAGGCACAAACGAGCCCGCCGCCGTATCTGACAGACACAGGAAGGAAGCGTTTCCTTTTAAAAGTGTGTACAGTTGAGTTCTGTGCCCATCACTGTCCCACAACAGTAAAGGAAGAAGGTGGTTTTCTGTAGGAACCAGAGGTCTTTACATCACTGCATGTGCATAATTGCATAAAACGCTCAGTGAATGGATTTGTAAGGTTGAATGTATATTTCCCTTGAGATCCTGAAATGACTAACATTCTGGAGAACCAGTAGCTTCCTGTGGGCGGCTAGTTGATGTCCCTCCTTTACGTTGCTCATGGGAAGGAGGACACGTATGCAGAAAGCAGGCGGGTGGGCTCTGCTTGGTTTCGCCATTGTGAGCAAAGCATGGCTTCTCCCCAGCCCACTGGCCAGCCTTTTCCGTTGCTGTGATCGGACTAGTTCAGATTCAGATTCTCCGTACAGGGTGGGGCTGAGCCACTGCTATCATGGCAGTGGAATCGTAACAGGAAGTCGTCAGGACAAGCTCTAGCCCCCCAAAGACAAACCCCTAGTAACCTACTTCTTCCAGGTAAGCACTGCCTTCCATCATTCCAGAACCTTCCAATATTCTACTCAAAATTGGCATCTGTCACTGGGTTAAACCGTTCTGTGGGCCACGCCTCCATGAGGTAACCTTCTCTGGAAACACCCAGCACAGGGGTGCATTGCTAACCCCCCTACTGCAGCATCAGGCAGAATTTCAGGAAAGTTAATTCCCTCGAATTTCTGGGCCACCCAGCCTACTGTCACGTTCCCCCTAAACACTCCACATGCTAGCGAGAATTCTTACCGTCATTATTCCTCTGCCTGTGCTTACTCATCATTTTATTGTTGCTGCCAATATACAGCCGAAGAGAAAGGCGCTGTGTTGGTTGGGGGATTTTATTAGACCCTCTTTAGGGCTGAGTCTGCATACAAGGGCTCCAGAGGGTACTGTGTCATGGGGATGTTACACCAAAGCAGCTACCACAGTCTGCCGGTTCTTACACGGACACTTCACGATTTCCTATCGCTTCATTATCAACTGCATGAGATGCTGACACATCATAGTTCCCTGCGTAATTACACGCATACACATTGCTGTTTCCTCAGGGTCCTCTCCTGATTCTACGACTTTGGCGTGAGCTTCCCTCTTTGTAGTAGAGCGATGCTTCCCAGGTCACACCGACACCCACCCATTTCATCTACTCATTTGCCAGCAGCGTGCCTTGTCTAGGTCCCACTGAGGTTGAACTTTAGGGATCAAGAGCTCTCGAAGTTGTGTCCAAACGGCTCTGTGAATGTACTTTGGCGAAGTAACTGTTGAACATGATTAGGGAGGAAGGCTGATTTTATTGATTTGCTTATCTCCCCGGAACTTTTAATAAGGACTCTTGGATTACACTTCAAACCTCTCATGGATGGATGGGAGCTAGGCTACGGGATCTCTGTCATCTGTGAAATGCTTGGATCGTTATACTTGCCAGTTGCGATTAAGAGACGCCTGGATGAGGAAAGCACGCTTCTGGGTGTGCATGTGGGAGCATGGTCGGACAACTCGGGGGAGATCCATCCTGAATATAGCGGTGCCATCCAGTGTGGTGGGGCTCCAGGTGGAGCAGGAATCAGAGGAGAAAGAGGGGAGGAGGAGGAGGCGGAGGAGGCAGTCACTAATGTAGGCTTCCTAATGTGCTTCCTGCTCAGGACGGCCATAAACTCCCTACCATGGAAACACCGACTTTACACTGTGTGTGTGTGTGTATACAGAGGATAGTATGACACAGTTGGGAAATGGCTACCAGTAAAGTGCTTACTGTACAAGCGTGCAGACCTGAGTTCAAATCCTCAATGTCCCTGTTTTTTTTTTATGGAGCTGGATATAGTTGCATAATTTACAATTCTGGTGCTGGGGATGCAGAGACAGATGGATCGCTAGGGCTCAGTGGCCCATCAGTCTAGCCAGGTTCTAGTGAGAGACAACAGGGTGGGTGTACATATATATTCACACACCTGCACAGGTACCACTGCCCACCCACATGCTAACCCATATCCTAGGTTGGATTATCGTTTTCCGTTTTAGCTAAGGATCTTTAAGCCATCTTCCCCATTTTGTGGTTCTGGGGATTGAACACAGAACCTAGGGCTGCAGTCCCTGAGCCACATCCCCAACCTCAGCGCTGTCCCTTCTAAGCCTTCATGGTCCAGCAGTTGCAGGAACTACAATAAATAAAATCTGTTTTTGCATTGAAATACCTTCCTTAGGAGAAGCATATTGAACAAGAAAGGAGCCGGAATGTTAGAAACCACATCTGCTCTGATACAATCTGAAAAATATCCCTCTTTGTACAATAAAAATGTGGCTAGCTCTGAACTCTTCGCATGAATGATAGTCACATGGTGTGGGTCACAAGCTAGACCAGTCTGCTCAGAGTGATCCCCGAAGCCACACGCAAGGAATAAACACGCTCCACCCCACGCCAGCACTTGCTCCCAGCTCCTCAGGTTTTTTTTTTTTTTTTTTTTTTTTTTTTGGTTTTATGAGACAGGGATTCTCTGTATTGTTTTGGAGGCTGTCGGTCCAGCCTGGCCTCAAACTCACAGAGATCCGCCTGCCTCTGCCTCCCGAGTGCTGGGATTAAAGGCGTGTGCCACCACCACCCGGCTCGGCTCCTCAGTTTTTTATCACACCTCCCATTGCGCTCTGCTGAGACTGGCCAGGCTGTGTCCTTGGCCCCTGGGAAACCCAGTAGGACATTTCAAGTTTCTGGAATTGGCCTTGTTGAAATGACAATGTACACTTTCCCTCTTCATAGACCTGTGCTGAATGTAATTTTATCAGCCCCTGGATATTCCTGTGTCTTGTAGCAATTCCTTTTTCCTTCTAGTGAAATGTGTGTCCTGCTGTAAGTAGTCATATTAGTGTAGTCACTTTCCCAATACATACTTTTTCAACTGTGAAGAAACTAAGGGGACTGAGTATATTGGGCACAGAGCATTGCCGGGTGTGTGTCTCATTTGTTGTCAGGCATGCTTTATAACCCAATAGGTAATCGCTTTCTCAAGTAATAGGAAAGTAAAGGGTCGGTCATTCAGAGACAGGTTCTGGCTACTGCTCACCATCAGGCTTTCAGGATTCTTTTGCTGAACCAAACTAGCCGATGGCCAAGGAAATACCTACCTTGGTCCAGGATCTTAGCAGGAGAAAGAGACTGAAGAGAAGTCCTGACACACTAATGCTCTTGTCTCATTGGTCAGGACTAAGTCACACATACCTGTCTAGCTTGCAGAGAAGCTTGGTAGTTCAGGATCTGAGCTCCAGGACAACACTCTGAGTTTGCCACCCCATACGTGCCTGGCTTTTGCCACGTTCCCTTAGGCTGTCCATTAAACATCTCTGTTGGTACTCTTTCCATTTCACTAAGAGTGAGAGGTGTTAAATTCCGATTCTGGTTTCTGGAGCTGGTGGGTAAAAAGCTGGAACATGAATCCTAGCCAGTAAGAGTTCAGAGGTTTTATAAGGACTAGGAAGACGGCTCAGCTGGTAAAGTGTTTGCCCTAAAAGCTTGTAGACCTGAGTTCAGTCCTCAGAACCATGTAAAGCTGGGCGTGGCAGTGTGTGCCTGGAATCCCAGCTCCACGGAGGAAACCAGAGAAGCCAGTGTGCTGGCACAGCCAGTCAGGCCTAATAGGCTACGGGTTC